TCGAGGAGGTGGCGGGATTTGCATATTAAATGGCTTGAGATTTATAACGGTCGGGGCCTCGAAGAGGTGCCAGCAATACGCGCGATAAATAAAGAACCTTCCCTCCGCGATAAACGCTGCAGCAACCTTCTTGCTCCGCCAAACGTTCTTCGACTATCCCTCCGACGCGATGTGTGAGAACAACGACGAATGTAATCTGCTAACGTACGTATCCTCGATCGATCGTTTATTTTTTTTTTTTTTTTTTTTCAAGAGGTGTAATATTCGCGGGATATTGGGCGGGGAAAAGAATGTTTCGGTTTTTATCACTGGGAAGAGGGGAGGAGGGGAGAGGAAGGGAGGGATTGGTCGTAAAACGGAGGGTGGAAGTTAACTAAGTTCCAATTATATCTCTCGAGGAGGTGTCCCCTTTGATCGGGATGAACCGGTTCCAAAAGGTTCCAGTGGAAGTCTCGCGGGCCCGGGCCTTATCCCCGCCAATTACGTTCCGCTTATGCGAATTTGCGCGTTCCGGTTGCTCGCCTCGTCGGCTCGTTTGATATACGAACGAGACGAAACACTTTGTTGCGAAACGACCTCGTAATATCTATTACCGCGCCGAATTTACAGAGGTCATCCGGGAGGAGAGAGAGAGATGGAAGTGGTATCCCGTCCGGTTGAAATCTCTATCGATGATCAACTTTACGATCTTTTAATTAAGATAATCCCGACATTACTGCCAGCCGGGGAGAAGAGATCTCTCCGCCTCGAGCTCCGTGTCCTCTTGTCGCTCATGCGCGAGAAATCGAACGTATTTCGAAAATTGAAAATTTTATTAATGGAAAAAGTGAAACTGATTGAAAATTTCGAGCACGGTGTAATTACTCCTTAAATAACGTTTATTTCGTTTTTCTCTCTTCACGATTATTTTTGCAAATTATTATTTCGAACGACGAGTTATCGAAGTAACATCGATTGTTAAATTTCCTCCATCGTTGGACAGGGGATGAGACTCGAAAAAAGTGTCTCTCGCGTGCAAAACGTTTTTAAAGTAAAAGGTACAAATTAAAGGTAAAATGAAACTGGTCGGTCGCCAATTTTCACTTTTTAACAAGTTGCAGATCGAGGATTAACAGGTCGGGATTGGTGGCTCGCCAAGGGTGTGGGGGAATCGATAACAAACAGAGAATCGTGGATGGATCGACTAATGTAGAGGGATGTGATGGATGGTCTTTTATATCTGTGAACGTGGCCGAGGTGTTATGAATCGCGTTAGCGTCGAATCATTGTTCACGTCGACACAATAACAGGCCCCGCGGGGGGGCGGTACCCCCGGCTTTTCGTTCCAGCTTCTTTATATTCCCTCGTCGCAACCCCTTCTCCCCCTCCTCTCTTTCTTTCTTCTCGAGCCACGATTTTAATCGACCTCGTAAAGATCGCATCAACCGGCCATCGATCCTCGCTTTGATTGGAAATTTATATTATACCAGCGACCTCGTGCTTCTCGCGAGGCGAGATTTCTGAGAACACGACCCTTTCCTCCTCCTCCTGTGTTTCTTGCTGCGGCGGAAACGACGCGCAGATACGTTCAATTTCCCCCGCCAACATTCTACGTACTACCTTCAATTGATTTTACCAAGGAAGATTCGATTTCTAATTATTACTAGGGGATAACGTGTCTAGGGGATTTTCGTGTGCTCGAAAGAGAAGAAGTACGGTTAAGTATCGCCAAGTTTGTATTATATAAATCCCTTCGATCGATTTGAAATTACAATTATATCTTGACACCTTTTTTGAGGGACTAAAATTAGGATTTTCTATTTTATTTCTTAAATTCTATCTCGTAATTATTTTTTCTCCTTTTTCAACGATACGGTCGAAGCGAAATTGTGGAAAAGGATAAAGTTTCCAGCGAAGGTGTAAGATTCTTAAATTCTACCTCGTAATTTCTTTTTTTTTCCATCGATCGTCTTAATATCTTTTTCGAGGAATTAAAATTAAGATTTTCTATTCTACTTCTTAAATTCTATCTCGTAATTTTTTTTTTTCTTTTTTCAACGATACGGTCGAAGCGAAATTGTGGAAAACGCGAAAAGGATAGTTTCCAGCGAAGGTATACGATTCTTAAATTCTACCTCGTAATTTCTTTTTTTTTCCATCGATCGTCTTAACACCTTTTTCGAGGAATTAAAATTAAGATTTTCTATTCTATTTCTTAAATTTTATCTCATAATTTCTTTTTTTTTTTTTTCATCGATCGTAACACTTTTTTTAAGGGACTAAAATTAGGATTTTCTATTCTATTTCTTAAATTTTATCTCGTAATTTTTTTTTTTCTTTTTCGACGATACGATCGAAGCGAAATAGTGAAAAAGGATAGAACATCGCTTCCAAGAAGGTGTAAGATTCTTCTCTCGTAAATTTCATCTCGTAATTTCTTTTTTCCTCTTTTTCAACGATACGGTCGAGAAATGGTGGAAAACGCGAAAGGGATAGAGTTTCGCTGTTTCCAGCGGCTGGTCAAGATCTAATTCGGTCCGTTCTGACGGACGCAGATGCAACGTATTATCGAACCTTTTAACCACGTGGACGTTTACGAGGCGTCGGGATGCGCGGATCCCTTCTCCACGTGTGCAGGAAACGAGATGCGGGTGCGCACGTGCGCTTCGTTTTCCTCCAACGGCCGGTGAGTGTAATACGCCTCGTAATTTTCGCAACTCACGAAACTCGCCCCCTTTCCCCTTAACACGGTGACACGCCTTCCAAACCCTATCCTCCTTCTCCTCCTCCCTCTCCTCGATAATTTTCAACCCATCGCTCGATCCTCCATCGCTCGATCGAAGAAAAAAGACGAGATAAACTCGGCCGAGAAGAGATCCGAATATAATCGTGGAAATTCCGAATTCCGAACACCTTGGCACGATTTCTCCAAGTTCTCGGGACAATGGACCCGTTTCTAAATACAGCCGGCCCCGTTCGAAACGATAACGCGATCGTCTCTCGCGGATGAGGACGCGCGAAGTCTCGAGTATCGCGCGGGAATATCGAGGGAGTAAAATAGAGAGGGGGCCATGGTGGCACGCGTAGGTGGTCTAAGGTTAAATCGGTTTGGAGATTGGGGGAGGCGCCCCCTCCCCACCCGCGTGGACATGCACGCGGGATTACGAGAGGGATTCGTAAAAGGCTCGCGCGGAACGCGACCGCTTGCCAAGAGATCGCAATAAGTCTTCGCCTGTTGGATGGAGACAAATGCCGGCCGAGTCCGTGCGGATGAAAACTCGGGCTCGTTCCAACATTCGTCCCGATCCAACCGAGGAATCGGCCTTGGACGTCGATCGGGACGATCAATATTTGCGAAATTAATTCCCGCTCGAACGATTGAACGGGTCGGACGATAATGAATCCCGCGGCGCGCGGGTCAAGGGGGGCTCCTCCTTTTTTTTTTTTTTTTTTTTTTTTTAACGAGCGCGGCGCCATTTCGCGTCACGTTTGTTTGACGTCGAACCGTCGTCGATACCTTTTCCTTTTGTTTACCCTACGCGGGTAATATCTCGTTTACCGGCGTCACGATTGCTCGACGATTATTGCGATCGCGTGTATTATTATTATTATTATTATTATTATTATTATTATTATTGTTATTGTTATTGTTATAACATATAAGCATTGTCTCTAGGGAATAATAAAAAAAAAAGTAGAAACGAAGAGAAGGGGTGGGGGGAGAACACTTACCTCGTTTTTGCATGTAACTGAAGAGATCGTCCAGGAATTCCTTCCTCTTCGGATCGTCGTTGATCTCGTAAAGCTGAAAGAACGAAACCAAAGGCAAAGATAAACGTGTTTGCGTCGATTTTTCATCTTCGATCGGAATCGAAAATCGATCGATCGAGGGAAATCAAAGTGTGCGTGATATGTATAATATGTGCGTGTGTGCGTGTGTGTGATCGATTTCCGCGAGGAAATCCGTAGTTTTTTTTCCTCCTTGCCCTCCTTTTCGCCCACCACCACCCTTGACGCAACGTTCCACCACGGAATAAAACGTTACGTTCGAGGGGCCGAGGGCCAATAAAAACAGGAGTGAAACAAGTGTGCTCATAGCGACAGGCAGATTAGTTAGCTCCGATTATTAATGATTCCGTTTAACCTGCCCCATAACCCGAAACCCCCTCGACCGAGGCAAAGCCGAACTCCCTTCGGGGCTGGCTGGCCCCGTATTATCATATTTGTTATGTACGATGTGCTATATCTAATCCGAGACNACGCGCTCCTTTATCTCTTTCAAGCGACAGCTGCGCTTGAAACTGTCACCGCGCTGCAAGACGATAAACCAACGCTGAGACGTGACGGTCCAACGATCACCGCTTTTAGAAATTGCCAACCGCGTTTCCTAACCGCTCAGATAGGAAAAGAGAGGGGAGGAGGAGGAGGAGGAGGAGGAGAGATGTTGAGCTCTCGGATCATCCTCTGGAGTGACGCGTGCCAATTTATGAAATTTCGAATTGTTCTTCGTTGTTACTCGTTGCTGTTGTTGTTGGCTCGTCGCGTTTGAAAACGCGTTTCCCCGC